CTCTGGTGACCTGACCTGAGGTCAGATCAACTCAAAATTTTCAGACATGTTGCGTAGAAGCCTTTTAGGAAAAGTCAGAAAATTTGAGCTTCCTAGCTCAACGCGTTTGGGAGATATAACCAAAAAACCTCAGGGGGGGCTCCTGAGGCCCCCCCCCGCCAGGAATAGGGTTAAGTCGCAACACCGGCTGCCGAGTGCCAACAGCTGCGTGCGCTGGCGCCGACGCGTTGTGGGCCGCGCTGCTGACGCCCAAGCTGCGATATCAACCATCTATGAATAAGTGGCAGCGGTGGCGGCTTGTCAGTTGTTAACGTGCCTTAACAGACGTTGCGAATAGCCCGCGTTGGAATCGCATGGTTGGGAACACAACGCAAGTAAAAATGGGCTTCCTTGATGAACCTACTTTTTAAGCAATGTAGCCTTTGTAATTTTGGATGTTTTGCTGTAGATATTATTTTCTACATATACATATACTATATAGGCACTCACGTGCTTTAAATCGCGCAATGCAATTGAACCATGGTAAAGACAATGATAAATGAACTGAGAGCTGACATGCCCCATGCTTTGTGTGTGTATGTGTGTGTGTGTGTGTGTTTTTTTTTGTTTTTTTGGCGAGTCGATAAAAGTGGTTTTGGACACTGGATGAGTGTTTAGGGGTGTGGTGAGGGGGGATGTAATTCCACAGACCTTCTGTCAGATTCACTAATGCAGTAGGTCTGTGCGGTGTTTAGTTATCGGAGCATTCTTTGAAAGTCGTGAATAGGGCCACCGAGTACCTAAAGCCGTGATATTCCCCCACAAAAACTTATTTTAAATAACCGGGGATAGGTACATGAGCAGAGTAAATGCTATTACGAACGCCTATCACAATGCTGAGCGAATAGGAAAATCCATAGATGGAGAATTGTGCCGCGTTACGGGTGCTCGGGCGCAGCCAATCCACCGTTACCCCAGCGGTGACCTTGACCCGCATCGTCTGTCTCGGCTCCAAAGCCAAACCGGCGTGGAATTGGGAGCGTTCGAGCACTCATGGTCCAGCGCAATTCTCCACCTAAATCCATTCCTAATACATACACATTTGCTTGCTCATAGTCATGTAACCCCGGTAAATTCACCCAACTTTCATATTGGTCGCTCCATAGACAGATGGCCACAGAGATCAACTTAAAAGGCCATTGTTGCATTCATTTAGTGGAGATCATTAAAGAGCCGTGACAGGCCACAAGTCGCGTGACATCATACGTGTAACGACCAATGACGTCGGCCTGCAAAACCCAATGGAAGCGGCTAGCAGCGTGCAATAAAACAGGGCGCTGCTTTCTAAATGTCTGTCGTGCGCCATAAATGAATATATTCTTTGTAACCTGGCAACTCAGTATCTTTTTTTAACTATTGTACTAGTATTTCATAGTTTCATAATTTTATAATTGTGCTTACGCTTTATGTTGATATTAGTGATAAATCCTTAGATAAAGTAAATCGATGTGATATTTAATAGAAAAATAGCAAACTAACGCACCATTCATTCGAAAGCTGGGGAACCTACTAAAAAGAACTACTAAAATTCCTGAGGAACTAAAGGATCAAATGGGGATTAAATAGATGCCTGCTATTCCGTCGTGAAAACGGCCATTAGCGCTCACCTTTGCCGTTCCGGGTGTCAGAAGATGGTTTACTTACGGATTGAACTTCCCTTCTAACCTGCTTTCGCGTTTTGGCGTATCACGGTCTCGACTTCTATCTCGTCCCTTTGTCGGTTCTTGCTTCCTTTCCGTATCTGCTACATGCTGAAAGACGGCGTATCACGGTCTCGACTTCTATCTCGTCCCTTTGTCGGTTCTTGCTTCCTTTCCGTATCTGCTACATGCTGAAAGACCGACCCGAAGGGCAGATAGAAGGAGACTGGAAGGACGTAGGACAGGTGGTATTGGGCAGTGGGTGGGTGGGAAATTGCTCTGGCGTGCCGTTGTCGGGCGGATGTTCAAGCAACAGGCTGTTGCGGCGTTGCCGTTCCGCGAAATAACAAAGCGCATAATAATTAGTTAATATTGATTTCGTGGTGGTAGGGCAGTGTACAAGACTGGCTAAATATTCGATAAGTATTAAATAATAAAGCAATTTTCCCATAGAACTTGTTTTCAGGCTGCGCTCCCTAGATATATAATAAACTCTGGCCGCTCGACGCGCCATCTATGCTCCCGTGTACGGACACTCTCCGCGCGGGGCCAGTAGGCACCCGCCCGTCGGTGTGCGTGGGCCGGCCGGTAGACACCCGTCCGTCCGGCGCTAATGTTCCGTGCTGCATCGCGTTGCACAGCACGGTGCCATTAGCGCTCACCTTTGCCGTTCCGGGTGTCAGAAGATGGTTTACTTACGGATTGAACTTCCCTTCTAACCTGCTTTCGCGTTTTGGCGTATCACGGTCTCGACTTCTATCTCGTCCCTTTGTCGGTTCTTGCTTCCTTTCCGTATCTGCTACATGCTGAAAGACGCCAAAGAAACGCCAAAGTGTATTCCAGTCATTAGGGGCGGGGCCATTCTACGGGGCAGGGGCCGCGTTGACAGCGATGCGCGCTTCCCACACGTCCAGGCGGCGCCCCCGGATGTACCGGAGGTGCGATGACGAGGCCCACCGACCGGATGCACGGATCGCGCCGTCGGAGGCGCCGGTGGCTGCGGCGGCGGTGGCGAACCCAATCCGCAGGCTATGCGTGGTGAGCCGCCCAGCGTCCGAGGGCGCGTAACGGCGAAGTACGCCGTTTAGCCAGGCGATCGTGCCGTACGCGCCTGATGCCCGGATAAACAGTGGTTGGTCTGGAGGCTGGTCGGCGACGTTGCGAAGGTACCTCCGCATAGCCTGGACTGGACATCCGGGGCCGGAGACACTGGGTAGCTCGACGGTGGCTCCCCGATACGCTTGGTCGGTTTTGGACGCCGGGATATGCAGCACAAGACGGTCCCGGTGTAGTGTGACATGCCGGCGGGCGCACGTGCGGCGGCGAGAGAACCGGTGCGCACTTGGGGCCAGATACTCACTTCCGCGTAGCGCGCCGAAAAATCCCAGCGTGATTGCCGCCCATGCTGCCCTCCGGTCATGCGCTGACATCGAGGCCCGCCGGAGTCGCCGGCGCAGTCGTAGCAGGATCGGCACGGACGCCGGTCGCCGGCCGGGCGGGCGTGGCCCCTGGCTGTCTCTGCTGATGGCCCGCAGCGCTAACCGGATTCGTTCCGTCCGGCCGGGCCAGGGTCGCTCCCGCGTGGCGTGCCAGTGTCGCAGTGCCGCCAGATGGGATGAAGCGAGTCCCGGGGAAGTGTTGTTGAGACTGAGGTGGGCGAGGAAACGAAGGACTGTGCGCTCTGTGGCGGGGATAGCGGGGAGGTTGTGAGAGGCGCAGAAAGTCTGGAAGGTAGCGACACACCGCCGATACGCTCTTCGCGTTGCGGGTGCGAGTCCGTCCCGGATGAGCCGGCGCGCTTCCGTGTCTAAATCGGGTAGCCCGACGCCGTGGTGCAGGTTTCCGTCGGCGCTTCCAGGAAGGCCGTCATCGCGGGCGGTACCGGCGTGGGCTCGGCCGCTGCCGCTGGATGCAGGCGGCGGAAACGGCCGATCTGGGAACGCGAGAGCGCGTCAGCGGAGCTGTTGTCTGTGCCGGGCACATGTACCACTCGCAGGTCGAATGAGCGCGAGGCAGCGACGAAAAGCGTTTGGCGTATGAGCGACATGAGACGCCGGTCCCGTGACCAGCCTTTGCTCCATGCCCCGACCACCCCGGCATTGTCACAGTGTATGGACACCCGCATGCCCTGCCAACTATGGCCCCATAGCAGGCACACTGTCAGGATCGGGATCATCTCGAGCCAGGAGATGCTGGAGGCCCAGCGCAGCGTGGCTGCTGGCCACTGTTGGGAGAACCAGTTCGGCCCGCAATGGCCACCGTGCCCCACTGTGGATGCGTCGGTATGGAGGTGAAGGTGGGCGGGCGGTGTCCAGTGCGGGTGGAGGAGGGGGGCTGACCCGTTCCAAGTCGGTAGGATGGAGAGCCACCAATTCAAGTCTCTGCGAGTGTCAGTGCTCATATTGACCCAGTGGTGGGGGCGCTGTGCGGTGTGAGCTGTGTCGAGGAGCCGTCGGAAAAAACTGCGCCCTGCTGGGATACATTTGACGGCATGAATGAGCTTGCCCGCGAGGCTGAGAAGGCGCCGCTGCCGGATTGTGCGAGAGGCTCGCACCTCTTCCAGGAGCTGGATGAGAGCGCGAAGCTTGGCGGACGGCAGTGAGATGGTCATGCTTGCGGTGTCCAGCACGCAACCGAGGAGCTCCATGCGGGTGGATGGTGGGCAGCATTTGTCAGGCGAGACGGGAATGCGGCATCGGTGACACAGGTCAAGGAACGTCTGGTACGCTTCGCCGCATGCGTCCGAACCTGCCGGTCCGATGAAAAAGAAATCGTCCAGATAGTGATGAATGTTGGCGTGGTTGGCGTGGTGTCGTGTGGCAATTGCGAGCAGATCGGCGAAGTCGTTGAAGATGGAACAGGCTGACCGCAAACCGAATGGTAGCCGGAGGTCAACATAATATGCTCCCTCCCAATGGTGACCGAGCAGCCAGCGCTGTTCCGCGCGAACGGGGATGAGTCTGAAGGCATGTCGGAGGTCGGCTTTTGCGAGAAGCGCGTTCTGGGGTCCGGCGGAGAAGATATGAGCAATAGCACTGTCCATGGAGGTGTAATGTACGGCAAAGGAATCCTGGTCAATGTGACTGTTGACGCTGAGTCCTTCCGGTTGGGACAAATCTAGAATCAGGCGGACGGAGCCGTCGGGCTTGTCTCTCGCCCCGAGCGGGTTGCAGCGGAACGGGGAGTACGGTGGTGATGGGAATGGGCCAGCCGTGTGTCCCCGTGCCACCTCTTGTTGCACCGCCCGGGAGACTGCTGCCGGTCGCGACCGAGCCGAGAGGTTGTTGGGTCGCCAGGTGGATATCTGTGGGCCCGTGTATC